GACAAAATCCAGACCTCCACAGATCCAGACTAGCAGAACATCAAAAAGTGCTGATAGCTTTGAGATGACTTGGATATTAATGAACTAACTTAGATAGGAATTGGTTGTTTCCAAAAAAAAAACACTATAAAAGTGAGACATCAAACCCCTGCCCCTCCCATCCTACCCCAGCACTCTTCCATTGGGTCCATGCTGCCTCCAGCTCCCATCTACGGGCACCAAACAGAAAAGCCTCAGGTAAGATGGAGCAACTGAGAAGTTCCTTGAGGTCAAGGTGGGGAGAGAATGAGTTCCATAAATGAGACATCACTTATGAAAAGGCCCAAAGGAAACAGTTGGAATGTCAGGCTGGAAACAGAGGTAGCAGTCATATTGTTAATGGCTTTAAATGACAAACTGAACATTTTGTGTTTCTTCCTAAAGGCAATAGGAAGCCATTGAAGATTTTTGAATGACCTGGGTGACATAGCCAGATTTGTGTTTTACGATTATCAATTTGGCAGCTGTGAGAAAGAGGTACTATTAGAAAACAAAGAAACTGGGGCAAAGAATACCAATTAGCAAGCTATTGCAGTAGTCCAGGCAAGAGATAATATTGGTAGGTTTTGTTTATAACATAAATCATTCCCTGAACATCTGCTGGCAGCATTAAGTAGATGAGCTAATCAAGGGCCACTATAATTTGTGATTATGACTCACTCAAGGCATTGTGAGAAAAAGATAAATATATCTTTTAAATTCTTCCCACAAAGATGTTTCTCTGCCAATCTATCAAAACTTTTTCATTATGCTTATGCTTGTATTGGAAGATTAGAAGACTCAACATTTTGTTATCTATTGCAATTTGTGTGGCTTTCTGAACCAGTCTGAGAGTGCAGAAGTGATGCTCATGAATACAATGTGACTTGTCAGCTGATTTGGTGAATTTGGGGCATTTAAGTAGGTAAGGAACATACTGAGGAAAAAAAAATAGTTCAGTACAATTGTCTACAGAAAGCATAAGACACAGATTAACCACCATTGTGGTATGGTGTGACTGGACTAGATCAATTGTTGAAACATCTAAGGGCACTCTGCAGCATCACCAAAAACAAACAAACAAATAAACAAAAAACCTCAGCTCAGAAACCAGAAATCCAACAGAGAGTAAAACAGCATTTAATAGTCATAACCATTGTTCCTCCTACCTAAGAAGTAATGTGTTCATAGTTAGTGTAAGCCAGCATTCCAAGCTTCTAAAAGTTGATATGTAGCTGCCTAGAGAAATTATACTTTTGGTTTTGTGACATTTTTATACATTGGAATATACTATTGCCCCTGTGTGTGAAGTGTTAACCACAACTACATCCTAAGTAGTTGGTTCAAATTTATTTCTTGACTGCCTTGTAATGGTAGGCAAGGACAGGGGTGGGATGTCAGCTGGCCAAGAATGCTAAGTTCATCACACCATGAGAGACGTGATAAGAGAACTGTGCTGAACATTAAGGTCACGTTGCCATGGGAGAGAGAAAAGAGAGAAGACACATGAGAATAATCACCTTCACATGAAAGAGGTCAAGGAGAAAGGTCAAAGGATTCTGGTGATTATTGGAAATTAGTTGTATTGATAGTATTATATGTGTGAGCTGGCATACACACTTATTAGTGATTAGTGATTAGCAAATGAACATCGAAGCATAGCCAACTAGAAACTAAAAGCAAATCATGATCCCATATGTTATGCTTATATCCAGTCAGCCGTATAGAAGGTTGCTTTGGGGGAGGTAAGATAAGCCTCATTCAGGGCTCTCGCACACTCTCTCTCTCTCTCTCTCTCTCTCTCTCTCTCTCAGATAAGATAGTGAACTTTGAATGAACAGGAGCAATAAGCCATGGCAATCATGGAATCTTAAAGCTGGAAAGATTAACTAGTTCACCTTTCCACCCAATACATGGATCTCCTCTACGACATTCCCAATAAGGGGTCAGTTAATGCTTAAAGAATTTCAATGATGGAGAATTCAGTACCTTATGAGTCTGCCTATAATTTTGGATAGTACCAATTGTTAGGAAGTTCTACCACACATTGAGCTGAAAGTTGCCTCCTTGTCGCTTCTACTCATTTGTCCCATTTCTCTTCCCTCTTTGGAGCTACATAAATCTAATCCTTCTTATTGAGACAATTAGGTGGCACAGTGGGTAGAGGACTGGGCTCAGAGTCAGAAAGACTTGAGTTTGCATCCAGCCTCAAAAACTATTAGCTGTGTGATCCTCAGCAAGTCACTCAACCTCTCTCTAACTCAGTTTCCTCCACTGTAAAGTAGGGATAATAATAGCACCTACCTCACAAGGTTGTTGGATGACTCAGATATTTGTAAAGTGCTTAGCACAGTGCCTGGCACATAGTATGTGCTTTTAAAATGCTTATTCCCTGCCCTTTCCCTTTCTTATTTATTTTTCAAACATCTGTAGAGAGCTATTAATAATGAACAGCTAATTTTACATAGCGCTTTAAGGTTTACAAAGAACTTTAAACACTTCATCTCATTTAATCCTCATGACTCTAGAAGATGGATGCTATTATTATACCCATTTTACAGATGAGGAGACTGAGGGAGGTCTCCCTGACTCCAAGCTTAGTGCTCTAATCATTAGGCACTGCTCTTCCTCCTAGGTCTTTACATAGTAATCATAGTAATTCAAATTCGTGTAACACTTCAAAGTTTTCAAAGTATTCATCTCATGTAACCGATAGCCTTAAGGCTGACGTGTATACAACTCTCCCCTTTTCCTGTGCTCTGCTTGTGTAGATGGTGGGAAGTTTTCTGGCCTTTGATGTGCAAGGACACTTTCAACCTCTAATTTCTCCCCCACCCCACACTGAGCATCAGGAGGCAGCTACTGGGCAAGTGCAATAGTTCCTAAGGCAAATTAAGTTGGATATGGCAGGGAGATAGTACAACCTGGAGCCATAGGGGAGAAAAGCTAATTGCACACTGACTTGTCACACAGACATGAATAGGGAAAGCAGGCCATTTGATCTAGAGAAAAACTAAGCTCACGCCTCCACTACAGCAATCATGAATTTGAAGAAGCCTATGTCCCAAAACATTTGCTGGGCAATGATACTTCACCTATTTTGGAACATTGCTAAATTGCTTTTGTTGCCATACTATTTTACTTCTCTGATTAAATACTTCACTTTTTCAGTGCTATTCCTTGACTGGGTCTGTTATCACAATGAACAAATGAATATGTAGAAGTTTCCAGTTTTTTCTCACCAGTGGAGACAAAACAAGCCAAATTACTATTGAAGCCCCCTTGACTCAAACCTACCACATTGAACAATTTTTACAACTCCTATGCACACCTAAAATCCTTTCATATTTAATGTAACCATACAAGTCAAAATGACAAAATCACTCATAATGTTACTTTTTAAGATTGGTAGCTGCTTAAATTTTCACAAATCGGGGTTTCTCAATTTTCTTAAGAATTTTTTCTCATAATTCTCAAGAAATTTCTCAAATTCTTATTTGTTGTTAGGTAATAGCTAAAAGAGTGCATGAGTTCCATGAACTTGTTTTAATATTTTGACAACTGCATTTTAATATGGTTTCCTTTATTTTATACATTTCAGATCATTATTCTGAGAAAGATTCCATAAGCTCTACCAGATTGCCAAAGGGGTCCACAACACACAAAAAAGTTAATAACCCCTGATCTAAAAGGATTGATTTGCACCTAGGCTAAAACACTAGATAAAACAACAGTACAATTAAATGAAGAGTGAATTTGTACCAGGAATTCAAGATTGGCTCAATATTAAAATCATAAACATAATGCCATATAAAAATAATAAAAACCATGATTGTATCAATAGATGCTGAAAAAGCTTTTGATAAAATACACCTCATTTAAAAAACAAAAACCAAACTGAACTTTTGGAATAAATGTACTTTTTCTTCAGATGTTAGGGAAAAGGAACAAGCATTTAAGCATCTACAATGTGCCAAGCCCTGTGCTAAGCCCTTTATAAATATCTCATTTGATTATGATTGACAATTCTATTAATATCATATTAGTACAGAAGCAGCATAATGTAGTAGATAGCAAGCTGGCCTTGTAATCAGAAGACCTGGGTTCAGATCCTGCCTCTGACTATGGGCACTTTTAATATCCCCAGAACTTTTTAAAAAGTTTTTTATTTATTGTTTTTAAGAATGGAGGGTTGGGAAGTAGGATACATTAGGAAGTGTAGGTGATTTTTTTTAAAAGGCTATCAATACTTATTAAAGTTTTATATATATAGTATATATATATATATATATATATATATATATATATACATACATGCGTATATATATACACATGTATGTGTATGTATATATATAATGTATATATACATGTGTATGTATATATAATGTATATATGTATGTATATACATGTATATATACATATATACATGTATATATGTATGTGTGTATATGTATATGTATATATATGTGTGTATATACACACATATATATACATATACATATATATATATATAGGCTAGGCAAGGGGTTAAATGCCTTGCTCAGGGTCACACAGCTAGTGTTATGTGTCTGAGGCCGCATTTGAACTCAGGTCCTCTTGAATTCAGGGCCGGCGCTTTATCCACTGTGCCGCCTAGCTGCCCCCAATAAAATATATTTTTTAAAATTTAGTGCTGTAAGGAGTTCTCTAAGACTAGAAGTAAGAGAAAAGTTGCTGTTTTGCATACTGGAGGGCTTCCCAATGGGCAATGAAATCAAAGATTAGCACTCCTCTAAAATTCACTTATTCATTCAATAAACATGCATTAAGCACCTGCTATGTACCAAGCACTGTGCTAAACACTGGGGTCACATGTAATATAATATAGCTTTTCCACAGCCGCATTTGAATTTAAGGCTGACAAACTCTGATTAAGATAACCTTTAAGAAACAAACATAAACACAATTTGTCTGCAAAAGCAAGAGAAAAGGTACAAGTTTGATCTGATACTCATCTTCATTACGTAAAGGTACTTCAGTGTTAATTAGTGTTATAGTATTAAAAATACTTAGTGTATGAATAAGAGAAACAAAAGGAGTCTGAGCCATTTTTCAAACATTTATGGCAGACTCAGGCACTTTGACAGTTCTTGATGAAAAGGATCATTACATCATCCTCTCCATCTCCACTCCCCCTAATAGTCTAGTTATCAGCAAATTTAAAGTAAAAATGGGTGATGGGAACATTTTTCAGCTTCTAAAAAGAAGAGCAAAAAATTTTAAGTAAATAAAACTGGTGACTGATCTATTAGACTCACCAAGAACAAATTATTGGAAGAACTCTATCTGAAAATAGCTCAAAAAACTGGAAAGCATTTTGGCACAAATTAGAGCAACATTTTATATCACATACCACAACAAGCTCTAAATGGATGAGTTGAATATAAGATTACATCATTTTAGAAAAAAATTATCGAGCATGAGTAATTTTTCACAATCAGCAAAAGGGAGAGAATAATCATAAAAGACAAAGTAAACTGTTATTTACTTAAAATCAAAAAGCTTTTGCACAATTTTAATGTAAATTGAATAAAAAGTCAAACTGTTGAGCAAGCTAAATCTTTGCATTTGATATCCCCGATAACCAAAGTCTAAGATCCAGGATAGATAGGGAACTGATACTAACATATAAAACCACAGCCATTCCGCAATAGGCAAGTGACCAAAGAATATGAAGTTTTCAAAACTGCAAATGATAAACCTTCTGAAAACAGGATCTAAATCACTGAAAAATGCAAAATAAAACAATTCTGAGGTTTCACTTCACAACCTGCAAACTGGCAGGTAAGATATAAATGGTAATGGTTAATATTCCTGAGCATGGGAAAAAATGGCATGCTAATACTCTGTTGATGCAGCTGTAAACTGGCCCAACTGCTCTGGAAAAAAAGTTGAAAATGATACAAGTGACTAAGGGGCTCACAGGTGCTTTGACCCAGCAATTCTATCCTTAAGCAGGAGGTGAAAAAACAAATAAAATATAAATCAAAAAAAAGTTTTAAAACAAAGTGGGTATCCATTGATTTAGGAAACAGCTGAAAAACTGGCACATAAATATAATTGATCATAGTGAAGAAATGACAAATTCAATGAAATCTGGAACAACACATATGAACTGATGGAGAGTAAGATAAGCAAACTCAGTATAACAAATATGACTCTAACAATGTAAGTGAATAAATCACTAAGAGGAAGTCAAAGACCTTTCTAATTCAGAAACCAGTAATAAGCCAGGTGAACACACAATGAAACCTGCCCCTCTTGACTGAGAAAAAGGGGATCACAATGGCAGTATGTTGCATACATTGTCTGATATGATCCCTTAACTGTTTTTCTTTGCTATAAGGGCTAAATTTGAGGGTGGATAGGATGAGGGTAAAGGTAAATCCAGAGACAATGGTGATGTAAAATGAAAAGGCATCATTTGAACTCATTTAGGAAAAACAAAACTATCATTAAATTGAGGGCTATCGTGTATAAAATTATTATGAAATATTTTCATGCTATGAAATTTTAAGACTATTTTTAGAGGAAACCAATAAAACAATACAAAATAATTATGTACACATATTAAATCTGACATCTCATTTTTCCAAAGTCAGTCATTTAACCCAACTCCCAATCTAAGGGTAAATGAAGAACAATGACTTAATTTAATAGGTATAAATGTTACTAATCTGGTGCACCAGGCATGAGGTAAAATCTCTATTACCTATTTATTTTTAAGTCATATTTGTGTTTTGAACTTCCAACTCACAATAAACTCTTAACATTTCCAATACACTGGTTCAGAGATGCTAATTCCACAGCAACAATGAATCAAAGGAAATACTAATAACTTAACAAGAATGAGTAGGGGAGCTAAGGAGGTAAGAAAAAAGGAGGCCAGGGTAGAACTGTCATTAACTACTGTATTCAATTCTTGTTCATTCTTTGATTTTTCAGGTAACAATCAACAGACCCAGGCAAATCTATGGAGATGTCTTTAAATTTTCATCACATACACTGACACAAATCATAAACACAAATAAAGAGTTTAGTCAGTCTCTAAAAACTTTTCAGTTCAATTAATCCATAGGGTTGCATTGTACTTCTTCACTCTGTTTCACTGATGGCACAGAAAGTGCTTCCGTTCTATTTCTGTTACGAATTCTTTTCCTTCTTTTCTTTTCAGGGGCAGAAGACTGGTTTGAATCTTGCACCTTCTTCTTTTTCTTCAGACAGCTAAGAGGATTGGGACCACTCACACCTTTGCGTTTCCTCTTCTTCTTCTGTTGAGGGGTTTTCACTAGACCTTGTTCTTCTTTGAGTTTCTTGATGCTCTGTTTCTGATGAACAGAGACAAGATGCTCTGATTCTGTTGCTTTGACAAAGGCAGTTGTTTTGGAAGAAGGTTTGTCCAAAACAACAGTGTTCTGAATGATAAACAAGAGAGGAACTCCAGGTGTTTTCTTTACTTGAAGGGATAAATTCTGGTCCTATGAAAAACACAAACATTAATCAGGTATTATTCAGGAGCACACTACAACCTACCAATACAACTGACGACCTCTGAAGGAAATTCTTTCTAAATACTTAATATCATTAAAACTGAAAGAGTCTTAGTTTTATTTCTCAGATTATTATGTGCCAGCGCAGAAGGCACTTATCAAACATCTAAAACAAAGATGAGGATGACAATGGGATTAATGGATGCTTTAAGGTTGGGAAAAGTAGATGGAAGTAAATGCTAGACAGGATAAATATCTTGTTTCAGTCAGCTGAATTGCTGAAGCTATTGAAAAGCAAAAATGTTTAACAAAAGCAGCATAAAACAATGTAAAAGAATATTTTAAATGAATTACGAGGAATTCAGAGGAACAAGGAAAGATGAATGCAGAGTGATGTAGGTGAAATTTGATAAACTTCAATGACCAATCTCATTCCCAAAGAACAGATTTGCCTCCTATCAGTACAGAGATAGTAAAGAGGTAAGAAGGCCACATGGCCATAGCTTCAGCTCGGGGGCCTCAGCGTGGAGCTGCTCTGACTGCAGGGACTCCAGGCACTGAAACTGCCCCAGCTGAAGGGGCTGTAGAGCCCAGGAGGGGGACAGGGCCATGCAGAGCCCCGCAACTCCCAAGGGAGGAAGAAGTCTGCAGCATGGTCCACTTCTGTTAAGTGTCTGGCTGTATAAGAATGTATAAGGCTGTATAAGAGCACTTGCTATCAGATGGAATGATTCTGTCAGCTGGTTGGACAGGTAAAAACTGGTTTGAGCAGTGTGGCTTCAACCCCCTAGGATGCATAAAGGCCCCCTAGGATGCACTAAAGCTAATCAACCCAGAGACTGGGTATTACTTCCATATCCCTCTCCCACCCAAATCTCTTGTTGGATGACACAGTTAAATTATTCCTTGCATCCTTATTCCTCATCAGGCAATTTAGAAAATCCCTCATTTCATCAGTGCAGCTATATTATTCTCTCTCTCTTTCTCTTTGGGTGAGGCAATTGAGGTTAAGTGCCTTGCCCAGAGTCACCCAACTAGTAAGTGTTATGTGTCTGAGGCTGCATTTGAACTCAGGTACTCCTGAATCCAGAGCTCTATTCACTGTGACACCTAACTGCCCCTATATTACTCTCTTGCCCTGAAGATGACAGAGCAGTCTCCTACTTGTGCTTTGCTGGCTCTTTTTCTAAAACTCTACATAGTTTGGGCCCTGAGGGCTTTGAGCCTTCAACCACAGTACAAAAGCCTAAATGGTGCTACATCCAGAAACCATCCTTCCATGAGTGAGAGCAGTGGAGGCTGCACATTGAGACTGTTCCCCGTTGACATATACTCCTGTTCCCCTTCTGAGTAGTAATAAAGTTGTGTTAACTGCTATTCCTATGCAGAGGGGCTAGGTAGTACAGTGGATAAAGTGCTGGGCCTAGGGTCAAAAAGACTTATCTTTCGAGTTCAAATCTCGCCTCAGACATTTACTAGCTGTGAAACCCTGGGCAAGTCACTTAATTCTGTTTGCCTCAGTTTCTTCATCTAGAAATGGAAATGGAAAACCACTCCAGTTATCTTTGCCAAGAAAACCCCAAATGGGTTCACGAAGAGTTGGAGGCAGTTGAAAAAAAAGACTGAACAACCAATTCCTATGTACCAATCCTGCTCTTCATCCAAAGTCTCTGGCACTATAGCTGGTCTTGCTTAATTGTTTTATTTTAAGGGAGGTTTCAATGGGAAGATGCATATTTGGAAGTTACTGTGGTATTTTTTTAAAAAAAGCAAAGCATCGATTATTTTTTATAGGCAATATTACCTGTGTTGCAACAAAAAAATGGTGAGGATTTCCATCTTCAATCATGGATAACAGACATTCAGCACCACTGACTGCATCTTTGAAATGGGAACAACTTCGAAGCTGACATCTTTGTGCAATTAGTTTTGCACCATATAACTCCTTCCCCAATGATTCTAATTCCTTTAACACACATCTGAAAAAAAAATTTGACTTTTAAATATTGGTAAGCATTTATAAGAGAAAGTTCTTTTAGACATATGACATTTTCAGGTCATATTTAGAATGTATTTTTTTTTCAAATAAAAGGTGTTAAAATTATACTTTTAGTCATAAATGCTATATGGTAAATCCAAACAAAAAATGAACTTAAAATGTTAACTTCCACCACCCCCATCCAAAAGAGAAAACCCTAGTTAAAAAAAAGTCAATCAACAAGGATTTATTAAACACCTACTTATTATGTGCCAGGAACTATGCTAGGCACTGTGGATACAAAGAAAAAAAGGAAAGTCACTACCTCAAAATACAGTCTATCAAGGAAAATAACAAGTACATCAAAGCAGACACAAAATAACCTTGGATGGGAAGGCATTAGCAGCTGCCAGGACCCAGCAGAGGATAGGGCTTGAACTGAAAAGCCTGGGACTACAGGAAGCTAGAAGACAAGGCACTGGATGTGTAGGGAACAGTAAGTAGCCAGTTACGGCTATACGTGGGGGTGGGAGGGAAGTTTTAAATATCAATCAGAGGAGTTTATATTTGATCCCATTAGTAAGAGGAAAGTACCAAAGTTTGTTGAGTGGGGGAGGGGAGGGAGAATGACAGATCAACATTCCACAAAAATTACTTTAGTGGTTGTGTGACAGGATGGACTGGAGTAGCAAGAAGCTCGAGGCAGAGAGACAAATCAATCAAACTCAAAAGCATTTATTAAGCACCTACTATATTCTGGGCATTGTGCTTGCAGCTAAAAATGTAAATACAAAGAATAAATAATCCATACTCACAAGAAGCTAAGTAATTAGTAGGCTATGCAACAGTCTGGAGACAGTTGACTAGAGTTTGAAGCAAAGCGGTGGTAGTGTGAATGGAGAGAAGGGGATGATTGCAAAAGATGTCACATAATTAGAAATGGTAAGATCTGATAACTGATTAGATATGTGGAGTGTCTAACAGTTAGAAGTCAAGGATGATAAAAAGTTTGTGAATGTGGTTGACTAGGATAGCAGTATACTGGGCCAAAAATATGGAAATTAGTTCAAAAGACAAGAGAGTAGGAGAGGATATGTAAGTTCTGTTTTGGACGCATTAAGTTTGAGATGATTATGAGATATCCAAGTTGAAATATCCAATAGATAGTTAGTAATGAGTGATTGGAGGTCAGAACTGAGACTTACTCGCAAAGAAATCATCTTTGAAACCATGTAAGCTAATTGGTCACTAAGTGAGAGAGTACAGAAAGACACCCCCCCCCGAAAAAAGAGTGCCTTGAGATACATCTACAATTAATGGATATGACATAAACAATGAACCAGTTAAAGTGTACTGAGAAGGTACAGTCAGGTAGGAGAACAAAGAGTGTGATAAAAAACCCAGTGAGAAGAGATCTAAGAGGTAAGGTGGAATAGTGTCAAATGCCAAAAAGAAATCAGAACAAATGAGAAAAACCTTGGATTTGGCAAATAGGTAACTAGTAATTTGAGCATAATAGTTTTAAATAAGTGACAGGGTTGGAAGCCAGAATGCATGGGGGAAAAACGTATCAAACAGAAAGATGAACATGAATACAAATTAGGTGAAACTAAATGCTTATATATTTTATATGTAATGTATATGTTAGATATACATATATAGATATACAAGAACATTCTATGAAAACATGAGATAGGAACAAGCAGGCTTTCAAACAGACCACATCTTTACCATTTCATAGTTATGTCAAAGATGTGGGGACTACAAGATCTCATTGTGCTTATTATTTGTCAATTACAAAACACTGCCTTTATAGGCTCTTTTACAAGGTGTCACTCATCTATAAATGATAAATTACCTTATTCAATGACTCTGATAAGGCAAGGCATACAAAAGGGAGATTTATAATTGTCCAAGGTGTTATTAACACTGTGTTGGAGAAGATCTAGTGCAGAGTATAAGTCAAGGAGGGATTCCCTAGATAGTAAAGTTCTCCAGATGCTCCTGTAGAGGGAAACATTGTGTTGGATTGCCAATACGATATCATCCTTGATCAAATTCTTATTTTCTTCAAATTTGATATTGTTCTTGTCTTTGCTCTAATAGGAATATATGTATGTGTGTGTAAGATAAGAAGTTCAAATGGAAAATGAGTTGAGCCCACAACTAAACAGGAGGAGGAAAACAGAATGGATTGAAAAGCTTCTTTAATGACCTCAAACTTCCCCTAGAAATAAAGGCTCTCCTTTTAAATAATATTCTACCCATAACTAATGCTATGAGTAACATTACAGTTTCTGGAGATTCATAAATGGTTATCACACAAAAGGTAATGGAAAGGCAAATGATGGGTGAGGATAGGTAATTTATACTAAAACTTTAAGTCACTAAATCTAACTGGACCTATTTTCCTCTCTAAAATGAAGTGGGTAGACTACATGCTCTTTGGAATGTTATTTTTCTCATTCCAACTCTAACGGTAAGACAGTGTACCCTCATATACAGATAAGGAACAATAAAACTCAAATTACATGTGAGTTCATTTGAGAGAAGGGAAATAAAGTGCTTTGTGAGATACAAGGAGAAAAAAAATTATCACCACAAAGAAACCTATTGGAAGGCTTCATCAAGAAGGGTCACTTGAGTTGGGATTTAAAGAATGGGTAGAAATACAAGCTAATTGGAAGAAGAACATTCCAGGAATAAGGTCCACGAAAGCAGAAACCTCTTATCTAAAGTATGTATATTTCCAATTGTCTAGTAGAGTCCTCAGAAAGTGTCTAATGAATGTGCAAAATGAATGCAAGAAATGATCTGTCCCTAACCACAAACAGCTTAATTTCCTATGCTACAAATATTACAGAATAGTCAACAAGACCTGAAATTTCATCTCTTTTCAGACTGTCATTTATATGCCTCAGTAGGCTGTTTCTATAGCAAAAATAAACTCTTAGATTATCTCACTTTAAGAAATGCCTGTTGATCAACTGACTCATGGCTAAACTTCTGGCGATATGCCTCTTTGCACTCAAGTAAGCCCATCCTAAGAAAAAAACTTTTTAAAGGGAGCTAAGTGGAGCAATACATGGAGTGCTAGATTTGGAGTCAGAAAGATCCAAGTTCAAATCCTGCCTCACTTAGTAGAAATGTGATGCTGGGCAAGTCCCTTAACCTCTCTTGGTTCCAGTGTTACCAACTCTAAAGTGCAAACAGTAACAGCCTTGCCTCACTGGGTCGCTGAGGCACTTCGGTTTCTCTGCCTCAGTTTCCCAATCAGTAAAAGGATAAAAAGATAAAAAAGATAAAAAGGATCAAAAATCAGTAAAAGCATGGGGGGGTAGTGAGGATCAAATGAGATAACGTCTCCCTTCGAAGATATGAAAGCGCTACACAAACACTAGGTTTGGGTTCCTCCGTCAGAGTCTTTACAGAATTCGATGTAAACTCTGAGCCAAAATGAGATAACGGGGGAGACTTCGGTGGATGCATGGATTAGGCCAGAGAGATGGCTCTCTGGGCTGGAGGAGGATGCTGTCAATTCAAATACACGCCCCGCCCCCCTCCCCATTCCCGGCCCCAACCTTCCTACCACTTAAGTTAGAGGACAACTGTCCTCCAGCACAGTAAATAACACTTCAACGTTTCCAGTTGGTACAGCTCTTTATGGTTGACAAAGCCCCATCCTCACACAGAGCCTGGTAATATCGTCATCCCCATTTTAGAGATGAGGAAACTGAGGCTGGGAGAGGAGGGCGACTCGCGCAGCGTCACACACAGAGGCAGGCGAGCCCGGAACCCCGGGTGCTGACCTTCCCCCACACCCGCACGCCCCCCCCCCGGCGCCTCCCCGCTGCCCCGCGGCCTCCAGGGCCCGCCGCCCGGGCCGACCTGGTGGTGCAGAGCTGCGTCTCCCCCATGAGGTAGCGGGGCAGCTGCTCACGGAGCTGGATGCGGCCCCGCAGCGCCGCCTGACAGAACGTGCCGTCCAGCAGCAGCTGGTACGGCTCCCGGACGCCGAAGTTGTAGCGGAAGAAGCCGAGGTGCTTCTTCGCGTGCTTCTGCCGCGTGATCTTCATGGCTGCTCGGCCGCGCGCTCACAGGAGAGAGGCAGAGACGGCCGCCCCGCCTCAGGAGCCGAGAGCCGGGAGTCGCCACACCAACAACGGCCAGACCCGGCTTCAGCAGGAAGCGAAGCTCGTGCCTCACGTTTCCGGCCGGCCGGAAGCTCCGCGAGAAAACTTGCCATACACTAGCCCTCATCCCGAAGCGCGCTTCTTTTGCGACTGCGCGCTGCCGAAAGGACGGGGCGTCTAGGAGGGCGGAGCTTGAATCTTGAAGCGCCGCGCGCTGATTGCGCAAGCGCAGTCTTTTTACATCCTTCCCTTCTGCGGGGGCAGGGCGTCACTGGTCCTGGCTTTGGCTCTGACCCTGGGGTATTAGTGAGTTAATAGTAACTGGGGTGTGAGTGCTTCCACCGCCAAACAACGTACTCATGTGCAAACGTACATTAGGGTTAGAGATCATAGGATCATAGGTCTAGAACTGGAAAAGGAGTTTAGAATCAAGTTAAGTCAACAAGTATTTATTGCTTGTGGGTAGACACTTAAATGCTTGTTGATCATCTGATTGATGGCCAAACTTCAGGTGTTGTGCCTCTTTGCTCTCAAGCTCTCAAGATCCTAAGAAAAAAAGAAGTCCTTTAAAGCCAGCTAGGTGGAGTAGTGCATGAAGTGCTAGATTTGTAGTAAGAAAGACCTGGGTTCAAATCCTGTCTGCCGGACACTGTTAAGGGGTGAGGATACAAAGAATGAAATGGTTCCTACTCCCAAGAAGTTCCCTAATGATAGACAACATGCAGCAACTATGTTCTGTCTGTCTGTCTATCTATCTATCTATCTATCTATCTATATCTACAGGATAAATTGGAGATAATTTCAGATCTAGCATAAAGGGAGACGGGAAAGATTTCTTGCACAAGATTGGTTTTTAGCAGAGATTTATAGGAAGCCAGGAAAGCTGGGAGGCAGAGATGCAGAGGGACAGAATTCCAGGCAGGGGGGACACCCGGTGAAAATAATCTGCATCTGGAGATAGAGTGTCTTGTGTGAGGAACAGCAAGGAGGGACAATGTCACTGGTGGAGGGCAGGGAGGAGAGTGAAGTGTAAGATGATTGGAAGTGTAGGAAGGCTTTAAATACCAAATAGAATATTTTATATTTGATCCTGAGAGAGCCAATAGAGTTTATTGATTAGGAAGGTGACATGGCCAGACCTTCTTTTTAGAAGGTCAGTTTGACAGGTGAGCATGGACCAGAGGGAGAGAAACTTCGGACAGGGAGTACAATTAGAAGGCTATTCTAATAGTCCAGATATGAGGTAAGGAGGACCTGCCCCAGGGTGACAGATGTGTGAGAAGGGTGTATATAAGGAGAGATGTCAAGGCATAAATAAAGAGATTTGGCAAACCATTGGCTGTATGGGGGGAGTAAGACTGAGAAGTCAAGGATGACACCTATGCTGTGAGCTTACATCATTGGGACATTTGATGGTGGTAAGTTAGGAAGAGGAGAAGGTTTTGGAGGAAAGATGAGTTCAGTTTTGGACTCGTTGAATTTAAGATCTATAAGACATCCAGCTTGAGATGTCCAATGGGTATATGTATATGAGTGCATATATGCACATGTATGTGTGTATATGTATCTATACACACATACATATTTGCAAACATATAAATAAATCATAAGATTAGAGCTGGAGAGGTTAATAAGGTCAGAGATCTAGCTTGAAAGGGAGTTTAGAGATCATTTAACAAAAGCCTCTCATTTTATAAATAAAGTAACTAAGGCACGGAGATGCTGAGAGATTTGCCCAATGTGGGCAAAGTACTTAGTAAGCTGGTAGTAAGTGGCAAAATTAGTAATGAGAACCCAGAATCAGCGTTTAAACCCAAGTCAGATGATTTTCCAAATATAGGGCTCTTTCTACTTCAAATAAGAATATGTTTGTAAAGCACTTAGTACAATGTCTAGCATGTAATAGGCACTGTACAAGTGCATGTTCCCTTCTCTTCTCCCCACTTCACCAAGTTGCCTCCATCATACAATATGAATGGAATAGAATGTCAGCTTATTTAATATTTTGGGTTTTGTCCTTGCATCTCCTGCACTTAAAACATTCCTGGCATATAGAAGGAGGCACCTAATAATGCTTATTGGATTGGATTAAATTAAATATAAATTAAATTATATGAATTAAGTATGAATACCTGTTCTTCCACTTCTACTACGCATAAAGGTTTGATTTTTAATAATGAAAGCTGACATTTATTTAGTACTTTGTATTCATTGTCTCATTTGTTCCATATAACAACCCTGCCAGGTGGGCGCTGTTGTTGTCTCCAGTTTGCAAGTAAAGAAACTGAGACTGAAAGGTTAATTGATTAGCCAGGGTCATATAGTTACTAGGTATCTGAGGCAGAATTCAAACCATGCTTTTATAATCCTAAATCTTATTCTCTATCCAGTATGCAACACTGCCTTTTTAAAGACATGCAGTTGTGGTATAATGAAAAAAACTTTAGAATGACAGGCAAACGTCCTCTGCTTCAATCTGGACTGCCAGATATACTCTGCGTCTGTCTGTCTATCTGTCTGTCTGTCTCAGGGGGTAGGGGATGGGAATTGTGACCAGGAACTTGGGCAGGTTATCTTTCTGAACCTCACTTTCCTCACTTGTAAATGATGCAGTTGGGTTACTCTATAACAATTCATCCTTCAAAAGGAAGTATGGGGCTCCTCCAAATTTAAGAATTTGTTTTTTACATACACACACATACACACACACACACGTGTATATACATACACTTATGTATATTCACACGTATATACACACACATATATATGCAGGTGTATATATATGTGTGTGCGCGTGTGTGTGTGTGTGTGTGTGTGTGTGTGTATACATGCACATACATATAAAAATATAAATACACACATTTACTAGACCTGATATTTTATCAGTATACAGAAGATGCCCTTATGGAAATTCCTCTACCTATTCAGATTAATACCTGCAGTTTAATTGTCTTAGAATTTACTATAGTTAGTGAGAAGTTATGTTACTTGACTATGCTCACCTGACCAGTATTTGCTAAATGTAGAACTTGAACCCAGGGCTTTCTGACTCCAGGGAAACCTTTCTAGTCCCTGTACCATAATGCCTCTCAGAAATAATAAGAATTTATATGGAACTTTATAGTTTACAAAATGATTTTCTTAACAGCAATACTCTGAAATAAATGGTACAAGTAATAATTATTGCACTTATAAAAATTGTTACAGATCTATTTACTGCCGCCCTGGCAGTCACACCATTACCACTTGTTTCATTCACACCCCAGATTCTGGGTCTACTTGTATCTCCTAAAGCATTCTTTCCTTATCCAAAATCACAGAGGTCTCAAAAGTATGGCATTTACAAAGGGAAATCTTGTCTAGATAAGAGGATAGAGAGAGACAGAGAGAGGAAGAAGAAGGTGAAGGAGGAGGAAGAAGAGGGGAGAGGGAGAGAAGGAAGGAAAAGAGGAAAGAAGGCAGGAAGAAAGGGAGGAAGGGAGGGAGGAAGGAAGGGAAGAATGGAAGATCAAAAGTACAGAGGCTGTACTGACTTTCTCATTCATTATTGCTCCTCAAAATTATTACTCTTTTATGAAGGTGGCTACGACCTAGAGTCTGTAAACAATTTCTCAAGTCATTATGAGCCAGTAGTCTTAATACTTAACTGGAATATTCAGACTTCGTTGTTATTATTTCCCAAATATGATATGGCCATGAAGGAAGAGAGTAGGACCCAGAACCTGCATACTGTCCCTCAGGCCTTTGGTGCATAGAGGGCTAGGTGTGTCTGTATTCACTAGTAATATAAAGGTCTCATAACATTGTGACTGTCACTCTCTAGTAAGAGAAGGACAGTGTGGTATAATGTGTATCATAGTGAACTTGGGAAAAGCTGGGTTCAAACTACAGCTCTGACATTTCCTAGCTGTGCCTAGCTGTGTAACCATATTCAAGTTATTTCACCTGTCTAAGCCTCAGTTCTCTGATTTCTAGAATGAGGGAACTGGGTCCAAATAACCCCTAAAATCCCTTCCAGCTCTAAACCTGCGATCCTAGTACTGCCCTCAAGTCCAGGTTTAGCTCCCCTATTGGAGACTCACATGATTCAACCTCTCTGACCTGTTTTCACCTCACCCCAGACTCATTCCTTTCCAGATGGCACCCTGGATTTCCTCACCTCCTTTTCCCACTTATTTTGAAGCCTGGCTGAAACCCTAGAATTTACACATGAGAGAAACTCACCCCCACTCCTGCAGATGCTCTTTCCCTCTCTTTCATTGGATGCCTCCTCCTCTTAAGGACTTCCACTTAAGGTGGGTGCCCAGACCAGCCATGTCTCATTCCTCTGCAGGCTCCCCAATCTCCAGACTTTCTCCACTCAAAGCACCCAAGTACCTTCTCCTACTGTTACCATTGTCAACTTCCTTTTCTATGCTGTCTTCCCTCACTAGAATGTATGCTTCTGATGGCTGGGACTTGTTATTTTTCTGTTTGTAAGTGTATTTCCAACAGTTAGCAAAGTTCTTGGCACATAGTAAGCGTTTAATAAATGCTTGCTGACTTGACTAGTGGAAAGAATCATGGATTCTTATTGGTGGAGATGAATCCCTTGCCCTGAATGAGGAGTGGGGCAGTGTTGACAACAGCAAGAAAGCTCCAGCCTTCTTCAGTTCTTTTTGTGACTCTTCAAGCTTTGAGTCACTTCAGGTGTTTCTGGCTTCCAGCTTTGAGAAGGAAGATGGAATAGGTCAACCCCATTCCAGGTTGCTGAAGGAAAAGACTCAGGGAAGACATGTGAGGAGCTGACATGTTGGCCCTGTCCCCAGATTGCTTTTCCTCTTGAATGAGATCAAGAACAGTCTCTCTTGGTTGAGTTATCTCATTCCCAATAGAAAAGCTCTTACATTCTGTATTATCTGATATGTATCTTCTCTGTTTTGCTATGATTTGGATCAGGGGTAGGGAACCTGAGGCCTCAAGGCCGTATGTGGCCTTCTAGGTCCTTGGGTGTGGCCTTTTGACTGAGTCCAAGTTTTACAGAACAAATCCTTTTATTAAGGATTAATTATAAGATGTCGCAAGTTCCCCACTCCTGACTTAGAGAAATGGGTTTCTTTGCTATTTGCTATATGTATTTGTTGTGGAAAAGGTCATAGGAAGAGAAGGGGTCAAGCCTTGGA